AGACGATATAGTTTTCCAGTGCTCTCTGTCGGTTATAAAAAATATTTCCATTGCACTTAAATGAATTTAGTTCGTGGGGAATTAACCTGATCGTGAACTATTGTTATCTTCATGGGTGTCGCTCCCCGGCTACGTCTTCTTGCATTGACTTAGTTACCCGTTTCATTGTTTCTATCAGTTTGGGGTTTGTTCCTAGTGCGTTTTGCACTATTCAGCTCCCAATTTGCATCTCAGTACCGCACGAGGCATGTGATCAAGTCGATTTTCACACAAGGATTTGTGTCACCGCGACCTTTGATCGCTGGGAGTTTGGTGAATGCATTTTATCTCCTCCAAGTTCGGGATTCTACCCGAGAAGCCGTGTTTTTCTGGTTTGGTTTCGTAGCCATTTGTGAAAAACGGTCACGGAATCTAACACTATAACTATCTGTGTCACGTTCCCTGGTTTGGCTGAGTATCATCACCAATACAGCCTGCTAACATGCACGAGTGTTCAACAATTGCACAACCCGCCATATTTGATTTACAGCTGCTATTCGACCGGGAACAGTGCAAATGCGGTGTGGTTCACAGAATTCAAGCGCTTGTGATCGATGACTGACTGTCCTTTCCTATATTCTGAGCTTTAACCCTCTCTCTCTGTATGCGTGTGTGTGTTGTATGTGTTGCACTTCAGTCACATGCGGTGGCGACCGGAAATAGTTCACTCTCCAAAAGTGCTTCAGCTTTCACAAGTGGAATCACAAAATTGGTTAGTTGACTATTGTTCTTGCCGGAATTCGGCGACTGCATATACAACGCAACACAACTCCGATAATCAAGTTAAGCAGGATTNTCCCATCAAAATCGGCTTCGCTATTACAAAGGCGACATTTCAATAGTCAATCAGTGGAAAGCATTGTGTGGGGAAAAAGTAATGTTGAATTGCTGCAAGCAGTTAGCGCAAATAGTGGTGGTGTGGCGACAGACACTGAGCGGTCTACCACTACTAATGAATCTTATCGTTTCCCTCTTGTACTAAAAAGGTCGATTTTAGGCTCATGATGGGGGCGTTGTTTGACACAGAACTAGTAATGCCTATCACAGATTATTTTATCTTTGTTGTATTCCCAATGAGGGCTGTGAAAACGGGTGGGCAGAAATGCAAGTCACA